ATGCTCATCATATTCAAACATGACACAGAAGACCAACTGATAGTCCCCCGATGCACGATCAAACCCGATGCCCCAAAGCAGAGTCTGCAACATCAGGCAACAAGCGCGGGGGCTTCAGTTCCGGCTCAAGGAGGGGTTTGAGATGGTCCGGTCCCACAGAAAGAAATTAGCACCATCTTCTTCTTCAAGGCCACGTGATGAATACAACAACATCCATGTGTTGCAGCTCGCCACTACTTCAAACTTTTGATCTGTTAGTCGAGATAAATTGGGAAGATACTTGCCTGATTGTACCAGTCTGAACGAGTTGTTTTCCGTGGAGAGCACGGTGCACTTTGTAGGTTCTCCTCTGAATTCACGCTGCACACACAAAATCATGAGATTATCGCCGTCGTTATTCAAATCGAGACCAAGCTGAACCGGACCATGGGGTTCCGAAACAAGAGCAGAAGCAGGAGTAGGAGACTTGATAATAGGAAGAGAAAGAGGAGGATTATTATGTGAGCGGGTAAAAGGAGGAGACTTTATAATAGGAAGAGAATAAGGAGGAGGTTGAGAGCGGGTAAAAGAATGGGAGCTTGTCCAATTCATGCAAAATTGCAGCGCCATTGCTATTCTCGAATGATGGTCGGAACCCTAATGGCTCCTTCTGTCCATCTCTCAGCATCGACAAATGTAATGTTGTGTCTTCATCCTAGCTTGAAAATTAAATCATTAAATTAGTTAAATCATCAAGGAATAAGAAATAAATCATTCCAAGAATTTTTCCAAGATTAGTAGCTAAGTAAGGGTGTGCATAGTTTGACTAAAACCGAAAAACCGACCGAATCGAAAGTTTTGGTTCGGTTTTTATACGACTCGGTCGGTTTTCGGTTTTAGTCGAATGAGTTTTCGGTTATTTCGGTCGGTGTCGGTTTCCGGACATCAAATGTCCAAAATAACTCAACCTACTATATATATATATATTTATTATATCATATTATTATAACATAATATATATAAATATATAGTAATTAAAAGCAACTCTGAAAAAGAAGTTCATAGGAAAGAAAATATATCGATAATGAGAGGTTTTTAATTCCTTGCTGTCTTGGTTCGTAAATCTTATGTTTTTTCTTTCTTTCTTGTGCAGTTGTCGTCTCAAGGTGAAGGGCACGACGAGATAGGCTTTGAGTTTCTCGGGAACTCGAGCGGTGAGCCTTATACGGTGCACACGAATGTGTACTCAAAGGGAAAAGGTGACAAGGAACAACAATTCCAACTTTGGTTTGACCCAACTGCCGCATTCCACACATACCCGATCGTCTGGAATCCTCGGCGCACCATGTACGTATTAATTTATAATCTAATTTTCGATAAGACCGTTGACATAACGGGAAAAAAAAGCATAAAATGAGGGAGTAACTCTCCAATCGAATTGCAAAATCAAAACCAAAATGGGTTTTTGAGTTTCTCTTCAAGACCCAAATTTGGGTTTCTAAGAGAGAATATGCCGAGAATATTATTGTTGCGACAATTACTGCAAAATAAAAATGGTTTTTTTTTTTGTTAGACTTTAGAGAGGACCCAAACGACTATTAAATTCTAGTGCTTCTTCTATTAGTGAAGTCTCTCTATAAAAAATATATCGAACGACGCAATGCACCTTGGGTCGCTACGGAAACAGCCTCCTTGTATGATTATAAGGGTAAGGTCTGCGTACAACTGACCCCCTCCGCATAACTTCTTCTGTAGTTACTAATGAACCAAGTATATTTTCAGATTCTTGGTGGACAATAGTCCCATTCGAGTTTTCAACAACCACGAGTCAAAGTGGTGTGTCGTTCCCAAACACCAAGAGGATGAGTGTACTGCAGTTGGGTCAAGACAGACTGGACAAAGGCTCTGACATGCGTCATTTTTACGTGTATTTTCTAGTGATTTACGTGCTCGTTTCGTTGTAGTTTAATAATTAATTAATTAATTATTTAATTATTTTTATTAAGCTATGATGAAGTGTGTTATTTTGAATTTTGACAGAAAATAGGTTCGAAATAATTTTTGGAGAGGAAAAAGGCGAGAAACGGATTTATTGGAGGAGGCCCAATCATCAGCCTGCAAGAATACATGGCAGCCTTATTTTTATGGAGTCAAGTCTTTAATTAGGCCCAGGTGCACAAGAAAATGGGCTGGCCCAAAACCAAATTAAGTAATGGCAAAATTGTAATTTCGACCAAGTCTGCCATCCTTTCTTCTTCTTCTACGTGAAGCAGCCCATCCGCCATTGTTGAACTGGGAGCTGCTCGACCAAGCTCATCCACACACCACCTCGCCGTCGGCACTCCTCACTGACCGCCTCTGCCATAATTTCTCCGTAGCTCTGACCTGACCACCTGGAACTTCTTGTAACGCCAAATCCGCGCCGGAGCTGGCCTGAACTCACCGGAGAACCACCGCCATGCCACGTAAGACCGCCTATAATCTTCCTGATACGCCGTAGAAAGTAACCAAGAAGCCGCGCGCCGCCGTCCTTCTGCCTGGGAAGCTGCAGATCACGTTCACGCCGTGACGCCGGAAAAATGGCCGG